GCCTACAGTACAAAATGGTGAGTCGCACTGTCGATGACGTCATTGCTTCAACATTGATGGCGTTTGACATGCTCAGTGGAGAGAAGTTGGAGGATCTTCCTTACATTGCAGGCAGTCATGCGCCTAGTTCTTGAGCATGGAGGAGACAATCACTTTAAGCTGCCCCATTTGAAGAAGGACGCGATGAGACGTGCTGGAACTCTTGCTGTGAATTTGATCGTTCCAGTGTCGCTTCTCTTTGAGGCGAACAGCACCCTCCAACAGTTGACATCCCAGTGATAATTTTAACCAATGAAATTACATGAAAATGGTGGCAATAATACAAAATATTTGGTGTTTTCAAATCGTGGCAGTAATACCAAACAGAGGAAGTACACTTTACTTGACCAACGACGGTCAAATTGAGGTGAGGCCGCTTCAAGATGTCTCGCGCGTCGAGCACGATATTGTGCTCGAGTGCGACTCCTTTTTCTAATCTTCGCGGCTGACATGCTACTGTACCAGCCAGTACACCATGATAGTAGATTCCATCTTCCCCACGAAGAGGCATCCATAACACGTGAGCATTCGTCAGAGCACAGCAGATACGAGAGACCTGGTCAAACTTGGACTCATTCCACTTGTAGGTGACCGACATGATCTTCCAGAGACTGCACATGCGGCCAAAGTAGTTTTCGACAAGGACTCGATCCGAAGAGACCTTGTTGCTGCGCTCCAGGTCACGAGGCGTGAGGTCATGCCAACGGTCAACCCCATCCTCCTGGTCTGCAATGTCCATCTCGGTATTGGATTTCCTGAGCATCTTGCGATGAATCTTCCCACGATTGTAGAACATGGACACATCAGACACAGAGCCTGGGCTGTGATCAGACACGGCGACGGCAAACCCGGGGTAAGCAACCGAGACTTCGAGCTTGAGGCCATAGAGTTTATGCTTACCAGAGAAGTAGTGTTTGGCCTCATCAAATCGGCCAGTTGGGCGGTACGATGGTTGAAACTTGACATCAGTGCAGTACAAGGCCGACGGAAAGTTTTCAAAATCATGGTCTTTGCGCACTTGCTCCGTCATTGATGGTGGCTTCACGTAGTGCTCGAACAAGACAGGCTCCACAAGGTCCAAGACACGTTGGACCATTTTCGCAAAGGTAGGAGGAGCCTTCATACCAAAATTCAAAGCGTGTTTGTCCCAAGCGTTGTAGTGCTTCAACACGGCAAGTGTCATGAAATGGGCATCCTTGGCGGACACAGGAGATCTTCGTCCCCGAGCGTCCACGCTGGAACCAGGACGGACTCGACAATCGCCCAGACTGTTTCGAATTCGGATTGATTGAGATTTACCATGGTGGCGAGGGCGTTGTTGCCACCTTGGAAGTAGTAATGATCCATGATGGGTGTTGGGGAGTCGTCAGCCTCCTCGACTTGTTGAGAATGTTCGAGGTAGATTTGGCTCATCTCTTCCATGTTGACGTTTTCGCCCTCAATTTGGCGTTAAAGACGTTTGAGAACAGAGTTGACCCATTGGGGGCGTTGGGAACAATTGAATTGTGATTGTTGTTATAGAAATATAGAGGTGTGCAGAATCGTGCGAGCTGTACAGTTATGTAGAATCAAGACAATTACGTTGTAACTTTTGTATTCCTATGCCATCTTGCAATTCATGATGTGAATTCTTCAGTGATTCAATTACATGGTATTTGCCCGATATCAAGCGTGTATTCGAAGTAAATACTGAATTACTGAAAACTTGATCACCTACAAAAATTAATACGACTTCTTAGCCAAACGTTAATATCAACTTTCGCAACTGAACAAAAACTGCGTAAATGGACCAGAGGTCTAGTGTACAGGGAACAACGCTGAATAAGTCAGCGCCAAAAAACTTGGAATATTTGTTTGAATTATCCAATCAAAAGTGATTTAATCAAATGGATGAATTCTATTTGTTGAATTATATTCCCGGCAATTTTCAAGCCAACATCCCCATACGTTTTGATAACCTTGTAACTCAAGCCACCACTATTGCCCATGGACGTTGCAACGCCAAAGCGTCGACAGTGATTAAAGCTTGCACAAAAGCTCAATGCTGTGCTCTTGGAGGAGAAAACATCCTTTCAACACGCAGCTGTAACAACTGGTTACCCGGTAAGGTGCGCGCGCCGATGGCTACAAACATAGACCACCATGATGTCGTTCAAAGGATCCAAGACACGGAAGAAGAACACTGGCACATGCGGTGGCAAGCCCATCATCCCCCAACCACATGAGCTGGTCACATACCTAAAGGACCACGACACCAGGAGATGGTTGTGACATCTACCCACATGATACCGTTCCTACGGGTCGACTACATGGCATGGATCGAAGACTACATGGCGACGAGAAATGGGTACAATGCGCTCCTGCGGCTGCTCCAGCGGTTCGCTGGCCGTCATGGATTCTCCAAGCAAACTGTGTGCAGGGAAAAGAGACAAAAGGACCTGGAAGAGGCTCGTGCTGCGTTTGCCTAGCAGTTCATCCCAACGTTGCGATGGACTGTGTCTTCAATGCCGACGAAACTGGAATCACATACGACATGTGTCCGAACTCCATCTGGGCAGTGCGCGGCGGCGGCAGTTACGTATCGAATTCTGAGCGACATTCGTACCGTATGACAGCCTTGCTCACGGTCCGCGGTGATGGTGTCAAGCTGCCCATCTTGTTTGTCATCCGTGGAGTTGCTGGTGGTGTCATCGAGTCGAACGAGTTTGCTGAGTATCCACGCGGTCACTACTATGCCATGCAGGAGAAAGCCTGGATGAGCGGCAGTGTTTGGCGGTACTAACTGCGAGAAGTATTGGCATTGCATATCGAGGACCCGTCGGTTCTCTTGGTGGACATCTTCAACTCTCATGTAAGTGATGAGAGTAATAGGGTTGTTGGTGTAGAGCTGGGATGTGAGCTCTACGCGTTGCCACCGCACAGCATTTCTCACTGCCAGCCGCTGGATATGTCCGTCATGTGACCATTTAAACAACACTTGCGAGGCTTGTGGGTTTTGAATATATCCTCTGCGACGACAGCCAAGGAACAACGAATTGTGATGATCGAGCGTGCTATCCAGGCTTGGGATTTGATCACTGAAGCTGAAGTGCGTCTTGGCCTCGTCAAGGCGTTGCCAAAGGAATTTGAATGAAATGAGTTTGTAAATTTCAGAGTGTTGGTTTGACTTTTCAAGGAATTAACAGTGGTCGAACGCATCGACAGACCTTCCGGATAATTCATCAAATTCCAGAGATCACAACCTCTTCGGTGCTTTTGCAGTGATATTATTCATATTGAAAATTATTGACTATTAGAGGAATTAGTCATCACCTTCGTAAATCACAATACCATGCTCATTCAATAAAGTCTACACACCTTTTGCAACCACTCGTGTGCGAGTTGATCGACGCTCACGAACAAGTGACTGAATGATGGATAAGACCTCTTTTGTATCTGGAATACGTGTATTGCGGCTAGATTCGCAGCAACTTTGGCAGGAGTCACAGTCTTATCATGTTGATATACAGACCATACTTCCTTTACAGCATGAAGGTTTCAACCTGCCAGTTGTACAATCTGCTCTGTAACACCTACAGCATTGCTATGGCGTAGGTGTGCATGCATGCGAAGTATCGAGAGACGGGCGTCTCTCGATAAACTTCGCGTTCGCTCACTACAGAGAACCGGGGATGAACTCGCCCACAGTTGTATTTAACTTTATCTTGGCTATTGTATGAGAGGCCGAGACAGTTGGACAAATTAATATTGCTGCAAAACAAGGACAGTTTGAGGATTTTAGCCAATCAATCACAAGGTGTTGTAACGTGAAACTAAAATCTCGCATAAAATCAAAAATCAACGAATTTGACTCATCGACATGCGCAAGGATTCAGGATGGGCCCTTAAAGGGCCCCATCACACCGACATCAAGCGGCTGAACGGTACTTGTTGCGTTTGCCGGCAATTCTTCCAGCACACTGTAGATGTTTCCACGGACAAAATCGCACGCCGCAGGTGTGACATGCGCCGACAGATTATCAACAACCAACACGACAGACGGTCGGTGCTTCGATCTCGAACTGCAAAAGTTCGCGCAGGTAGATGTCCCATACTCGCTCATCCATCCATGCATTCTCCTGGACAGCGTAGATTGCGTCGCGTGGATATGTCGGCAACTCGTCCTGTTCTACAGGGGCACCGGGCAGACCACACACGATAATGCAATGCGGCAACTTCCGCCCTAGACGACTCGTAAGTACGGGTGATGTGTTCAATCTCACCATCTGCGCGTACTGCGAGGACTGCGGTTACCCTGTCAGAGTGCTTCTGCTGGCTGTCAATTTTGGCCGTCTCCCCAACCCGAGCCCATGTACATGGTGGCATGTCATAATGAACTCCAGTTTCGTCGATATTAATGATGTTCCCCAGGTCGTAGGCACTGAACCTTGCCCAGAATGAGCGAGCGTAGTCAACACGCGTAGCTTGCAAGTTGACTTGTGTCCTTCTGGACGCGCAGGGTACGCGCTGCGAGAAACCATGACGGTGTGCTAAAGCTTGGCACTACCCCAGGAGAGATTTGTACGCACGTGATGGATCCGATTTTTCTTCGAGGTACGCGCCCTTACTCGTCGCTCTGGTCGCATTCGCCGTCCCCCTTCGCGCTACGCGGATCCATACTCTGCTGCCTCTCCCTCCGTTGCCCCGCCCGCACCCGATTTACCAAGCACTGCTTCCCCCGAAGCAAACTTAGAGCCGCCGTCTCCGATTCCACCAGCCGTCGACTCTACCGTACCCCCTGCTCCGCCTTTCGCGCCCGATGTTGCTGATCGTCGCCCAGTTGTTCCATCTGAAGCCGTTTGTTTCGCCTGCTCCGCCTTACCATCAAGTCGCCGACGATTCTTCCGCCGACATGGACACATCCCCTGCCTTGGATGACTCATCCACCTTTGTCCCTGTCTACCTCGAAGACTCTGCTGACATGGATACGTCACCTGTCTTGGATACCTCTATTAGCCATCGCCTTTGTGAAGATTCGATTACCGACGACACTACCGATGAAGACTCTCAACATGCCAAGCGTCAACGCATGCTCGTCGCCTTTGCCCTTCAATCAACTGGTCTCCCAACTACGCTCCGTCTAGCTCATACAGTTCGCGAAATAAAGTTATGTACAATCACATTTCAAGCACAACTGCTTTCCATGTTGCACAATG